TCTAGATCTAGTTAGATATATATATATATATATATATATCGTGTATATTGTGTATAAATATTTTATTTGGTTTATGCGATCTGCTCTGTTCTCGTATTGTCTGAAAGTGCTACGTACTTGTTTTCTTTCTTTCTTTCTCATTCTCATTCTACTTCCTCTTCTCATGTTGTTTAATACTAAGCTACATAGTTCGTGTGTCTCGCTAATACTCTGCTCTAACATAATTGGGGTTTGCTGCTCTGTGTGCTAATGGATCCAAAATGAAGTTTTATAGAGAGCATAACAGAGTGAGATGAGTAGAAACAATTTGTAATTAAGACTAGAGCATATGACTAGTGCATATATAATGCATATATATGGATCGGCACATCGATCGATATATACGCTATATGTATGTATAAAGAGTATATTATAGAGCTGTCTCTATGTGCTATATATCAATATGTATGTTGCTTTCTCTGCCCGTACGCGGCTTTGACATCTCTCAAGTTAACATTTTGGCGTTAACAGCTCTGTTAGTTTACAGCAGCTGCGCTATAACCGGCTCAATCAGACACATGTGCTCTGCTCCACGGACGGGCAAGCGATTCAGACAGAAATGTCGTATCATATCGGGCACCGTTTCGAAGGGTCGACTGAACTGGCCCAAGATGTATTGCCCCGCCTCGTTGCGCTGTATTCGCATGTGCATGAAGCCCTTGGCGCCTCTGTAAAAGGCAATAAGAGAGAAGGAGAGAGACATATAGAGATAGTTCACACTTGTCACAGACTAGTTGACCTACTTGAGCGACAGGGAATAGTCCTGCTTGGTGGACTCGCAATTGCGCACCAGAAACGAGCCCTCGGCCAAGGGACGCAACGTTGTCTCTGCCTCAATACGTGTGATAGCGCCATGGTACCAGCTAGAAAGACAGAGAGAGTTAGCACTGGAGTAATAGAGGGAGAGAGAGAGAGAGAGAGAGAAGGAGACAGATACCCTTGACGCTCTAGTGGTATGGTCACATCTATTAGATCGACAGCCGTTACGTAGCCCTGGCCCAGATTCATGTTCAGCTCCTTGTGACTGCTCAATCCACGCAGATCAAGACTGCCAAACTGTTTGTTCACCTGGCGCGGCTCATTCAGATTCAACGTCAGATTCTGACGAAACAGCGCTGTGTCTGCAAAGAGAAATATATAGAGAGAGATAGAGGGAGTTGAGAATATGAAGTCAAAGCAAATGTAATTTTTTGTAAAGCTAAATCACCCTGAAAAATCACTTTAATTACTCGTAAATCGCTTTAATTACTCGCGAATAACTTTAATTACTTAAAAAAGTAAAGGATTTAAGTTTATTTTAGTTTCAACTTAAGTTTAATTAATAAGGAGTAAAAAGTAATTAAGTTATTCATCAGAAACCCCTGACAATTACTTTTAAGCAATTGCTAGAGTAATTGAAAGTAATTAAATGTAGTTCAAGTAGAGATTCTCTGTTATGTGAACTCACCCAGCTTGCTGGCCAGCTTCTGCTCGTCGCGCATCGAGTGGCTGGAGGATGCCTGCGAGATACCGCTGGATTCGGTGCTGTGCATCAGCAGATTATTGATCTCCGCCTGATTGGCGCGCAGTCGCCTGCGCAGCTTGGGCATGTCGAAGGGCAGATCGCCCAGGTCAACGGAGGTGGCACTGCCCGAGGTGCAGGCGGCCTCCTGCTGCAGCGTCTTGCGGCGCCGCAGCTTGGGCATGTCGAAGGGCAAGTCGCGCAGCTCCTGCGGCAGCGCCGAGGAACCAGCTGCACCGCCACCGCCGCCAGCCGCTGTGGCTGCCGAGGAGATGCCCGCTGCCGCCGACGAGGACGTATCTGCGGCGCTGCCATTGCCCAGCTGCAGCTTGGGCAGCGTCAGGCGCTGCAGCGCCAGAGTCGTTGGTTTGCCATCCTCGCGCGAGTGCAAGGAGATGCCGCTGTCCGAGCCGAGCAGCTCGTCGGCCAGGTGCAGCAGCGCCTTGTTGGGTGCCGCAGCCGCCGCCGCTGCACGCTGGCTGCCACTGCGCTGCTGCTTCACCAGCAGCTGGACAGGCACGGACGAGCTGCCAGCAGCAGCAGCTGCAGCGGCCGCAGCCTCGGCCGAGGCCTCCTCCTGCTGCAGGCTGGCTGCGCCAGCAGCTGCCGTCGCCGGCTGCTGCGACTGCTCGGAGGCCGGCTCCTGCGAGGACTTGTCCGATATGGGGCTGAGTATGTGCAGCTTCGAGTGCAGCAGCACCGGAGCGCGCAGCGGATAGGCGACACTCGAGCTGGCGCTGGCGCTGGCGCTGGCACTGGCACTGGCGCTGGCGCTGTTGCTATTGCTGTTGCTGCTCTCGGAGCTGTGCGAGCTGAGCGAGCTGGAGTGCCGCGACTCGGAGCTGGAGGTGCTGCGGTTGCCCTCGCTGGTGCTGCTGCGCAGCGACTCCATGCTGCCGCCGCTCGAGGAGGTGGCGATGCTCTCGGTGGAGCTGTAGTTGTGCCTGGGCTTGGGCAAGTGCTGCTGCTGCTTGCCATGTTGCTGCTGCGCGTGCTGCTGCTGCTGCTGCTGCTGCTGCTGCTGATGATGATGGTGATGGGCGCTGCGGCGCAGCTCCAGCACGCGGCCCGACTCCAGCACAAAGCTGCGCGGCCGACGCGACGAAGCCGAGGTGGAGGCAACAGCCGAGTTCGAGTTCGAGTTTGTTGAGGGCGGATTCACGTAGGCGCTGTCGGTGAGACTGTTGTCGTTGCTGCTCGCGCACAGCTGCAACTGCTGCTGCTGCTGCTGCTGGTGCTGCTGGTGCTGGCGCAGCGATGCCTGCAAGGGCAACCGCAAGTCGCGCAGTCGCGGATGCGCCGGCTGCGTCGCTGGCAGATTCGGTGCGCTCTTTATGCTATTCATGTAGCGCTCGTGCTTGCCCGGAAACTTGATGGGCAGCGGCGCCGTCGACGGCGGCGAGGGCGTGTAGCCACGCGTGGGCAGCTGCTGCTGCTGCTGTTGTTGCTGCTGTTGCTGATGTTGCTGCTGTTGTTGCTGTTGCTGATTCTGATTCTGCTGATCTGCTGTTTGGCTTAGCTGCAGCTGGCTGAGCTCTGCCTGCACCTGCAGCACCACCTGACACTGTCCATCAGGCGACTCCTGCTGCTGTTGTTGCTGCTGTTGCTGCTGCTGCTGCTGCTGCTGTTGTTGCTGCTGCTGTTGTGGCTGCTGCTGCTGCAGCGCCTGATTTTTGCTATTCTTGGCGCGTTTGCATTCGAGACGGCTTTTGCTTAGCGACTTGGACGGCACGGATAGCTCGTTGCCATTGCTGTTGGTGCTGCTGTTGAGCTGTAGCAAGACCGAGTGATTGGTGATGCGATCCACCTCATCGAGATCATCGTCTGACTTGGCTATCTTGCAATCGAAGGCCGTCTCATAGATTTGACGGCGTCGACTGGCCATGTTGTCGGAATCGTATTCCTCACCTTCCTCCTCCTGCTCCTGCTCCTCTTCCTCCTGCTGCTGCTGCTGCTGCTCCTCCTCCTGCTGTTTAGCACCTGCTGCTTGCTGCTGCTGCTGCTGCTGCTGCTGCTCCTCTAGCTTAATTGGCGGCGCACATTCGACGCATTCGTGCACGCCATGCGGATGCACGTAGAATATGCTGCGTGGCCTAAAGTACTCCTCCAGCTCATCCAGCTGGTCCTCATCGCCGTGGCCCAGTCCAATCGTCTTGTTGGGCGTCGGTATGCAGGCTCCGCACACGGCTGCTGGGCCCAGCAGGCGGTGCGGCGGCATCGACTCGCACGCTAAATCTCCCACTCCCACGCCCACTACTCCACCCCCTCCAGTTGCTGGTGGACAGCACTTGAGCAGCTCCCCCTCGCCGGCGTCGCAATGTTGCAGCTGCAACTGCAACTCGCCGCTGCCAATGGGCAACTGTTGCCGCGGCTGGACGTTGCACGTCTTGCGCACCAGCGCCAAGGCGCGCGCGTGCCACTCGCGTCGCTTCAGGCACTCGCTGCAGTCGGACTCCTCCGAGGTGCTGGTGCTGGGCGTCTCACAGCGTATGATGCGTACGCCCTCCTCCGTGAAGCTGTAGCGCTTCGGCGTCGACTGCTCGGTCAGGCAGGTCGCCTCCTCGAGCTCGACTGGATCGTTGTCTAGTTCTGCGTCGTCTCCCTTCTGCTGCAGTTGCTCCTCCTGCTGCTGCTGCTGCTGTTGTTGCTGTTGCTGTTGCTGTTGCTGCTGAGACTGTGGGGCATCGAGGCTGCTGCTCTTGCGATAGCCGCCCAGTCGATGGGGCTGCGTGAGGGTCTGCTGCGGCGGCTCGCTGGCCGTGGACTGGCGGCACTTTTGCTTCGCCTCGCGGTCGCGCTCGAGCGTCGGCTTCCTTCCCTCCTCCTCCTTGTCGCGAGTCTTGAGCAAGTCCGAGTAGTAGTACGGCGACGGCTGTCGCTTGCTGTGCTCCGCCTGGGCGACCGTCAATTTGCGTGGACTGCGCTGCAGTTGAGCGGGCAACGGACGGACTAGATCATCCGATATGCTGTCCGGTGAATTGAGCAAATCTCCAGCTGCGGCTCCAGCTCCAGCTCCGGTTCCGGTTCCAGCTGCTGCTGCTGTTGGCGGTGCGGCACGCTCTACCTCCTCGTCTATGTCCGCCTCCTCGTCAGAGGACTTGGGTGCCGAGGAATCTGCAAAACATAAGTTTTGATTACGGTGGATCATGAAAGTTCCCTAACCTTATATGTAAAATAACAGTTAACACAGATGAAGGCTAGACCTTAGTTAAAGCTATCCCAGGCACAGATCATACGAGATTCTAGCCTAACTCTAACCCAGCTCCGATATAGCTTACACTTTATACAAACCTTCAGCAGGCCTAATGCAGCGCTAAACCTCTGACCCAACGCCAAAGCAATCCATATCTGAGTTAACCTAGCCTTACGTTGGGCTAGCCACAATCTTAATCAAATGATTCCATTATGACTCCAGCTAGTTTGGATCGAGCTCCTATCTAACCCATTTTCAATACTCGACTAGCCTTACACTCATGTCCTACCTAACCTAACCCTAACTCTAATCTTACTTCCATCACTGACTTACCTCCCATCCAACTTTATACTAATTGCTCTCTAGCCTAACTCACCCTAGCCCAGACCTTTGTACTTGGGCTAATTCTGACTTCTAACCTCACTTAGCTTCAACTCTTCAAACTCTTCGGGACTGACGTAAGTCTAAACAGTTCCACAATGCTCTAACTGGACTTCATTTGCATCAGCTCAAGCATCAAATATCAATTAATCCTTCAGCTCCATTCAACATTTTCGTAGACATTTCCAACTTTCTTAACGTCTTTAGATGCAGGCATCTTAAAGTCAGGCAAGTCAGCTGAGGCAGTCCGCTTTGTTGTAGTCTCTTGTTAAGTGCCAACAGAGACAATGTCCAAACTGTCAGGAACAATTTAGCTGCTTGTCAGAGTTGAGATTTTTGTTTATAATTACGAGAAATTAGAGGCAAGTGCAGCCAGCCCGCAATCCATTCGCTGTTGTAACTATCCTCGCCCAGTTAATTGAGTCGCCAGGCAAATGAGAATGAGCCACAAAGGGCAGTCAGTGAGTGGATCCCTTTGCACTCCGCCCCTCAACCTTTGCGCATTTTTGGCGCGTCTCTCTGTCGCAGTCTATTAGGCGCTTGGCTGCTCGGCAATGCGTTACTTGCTCCATACCTTACTCTCTCTCCCCTCCCTCTCTCTCTCTCTCTCCCTCTCTCTCTCTCTCTCTGTGACTCTCTCTCTAGGTCTTTCACTCCTGCTCCTTGCGTCGCAGTCGAATGGCTGCCAGTTGCCATTTAACGCCTGGCTGATCTCAGCAGCCGCAGCCGCAACCGCAGCTCGCGCTGTCTGCCAAATGCATCTAATTGCCACGCCCACAAAGCCACGCCTCTGACTGTGTACAAATACAGCTGATGTAGCTATAGCTATCATTCTAACAAACTAGCTGTCGACTGTTAAGTTTTTCGCATTTTTCACTGCCGCCCAAAAGTATGCAACGCTTTTAATTATCGCTTGCGTCGCTAGCAACATTTTACTGAGTGCTGCCATTTGCAACAAAATGTTGCAGATTCACTCTAATATATAAGCTGATGCATATAATAACAATCAATGGGCTGTAAAACTCTTGCATAATAATATATCTAGCTTTATAAAGTCATTTATAGCTTGATAATAATATGAAACGTGAACTATGCTGCTAACAGTTGTTGCTGCTCGCTGAAATGTTGCTAAGGTCTTTCTGCTGCTAGCTGATGTTGCTGATCTTGGTTATGTTGCTGCTAGCTAATGTAGCTCTTAACAGCAAATGTTGCTAGCTCTGTCTGTTACTAGCTGATGTTACTGAGCTTGGTCTCATGTAGCCAATGTTGCTAGCTGTGTCTGTTGCTAGCTAATGGTACTGATATTGGACTCATGTAGCCAATGTTGCTAGCTCTTGCTGCCAGCGAATTTTGCTAGCTGTGTTGCTCACTCTTGTTGTTGGCTGTTGCTAGCTGAAATGCTGCTAGCAATTGTTGCTAATGTGTGAAAGTATTGCTAGCTAATGCTACCGATCTTCATCTACAACTGCTGCTAGTGAATGCCAGCTTGTGGATCTTCTTCTAGCAATTGTTGCTAGCTGTTTCTCTGCTGCTCTTGTGCTTGTTGCTGCCAGCTGAAAATATGCTATCTATAATTTCTGCTAGCTAAATGTTGCTGATTACTATATTAGCTGTTATTGCTGCTTGCTGCTGCTGCTGCCATTGTTTACATTGCTGCTCACCTGAATTGTAGTGGCTGTTGCGTTTGTCCTTCTTGTGATTGCCGTTGTTGTTGTTGTACGTGGAATGGCGATGCAGCAACTGCTGCTGTTGTTGCTGCTGCTGCTGCTGCTGCAACTGCTGCTGATGTCCGCGCGGTGTTGGCAACGTTTGCAGCTGCTGCTGCTGCTGATGCTGGCGCTGCTTGTGCAACGGCGCCGAGCGACGCTTGGCCTTCTTGTGATAGACCTTCTTGTGCTGGCCGTGGTGGCGCGTGTCCTTCGGATCGGAGTAGCCCTCGATCAGTTTGACAGAGGCTTGCTTGATGTTGCTGTTGGGCAGCGGCGGATGTTGCAGAGTGCCGCGTTGCTGTTGCTGCGGTGCTGCTGGCAATGTATTGTTGTTGTGCGCATGCAATTGCTGCTGTTGCTGTTGCTGTTGCTGCTGTTGCTGGCAAGTGTTGTTACTGCCGCTGTTGTTGTTATTGTTGCTGCTGCTGCCGCCCAAAATAGTTGCCGCTGCAGTTGTCGCCTGACTGGGCAGCGTTGCCAAGGAGGCAAGCGGCGGCGGCGGTGGCACAGCTGCTGCTGCTGCTGCTGCTGCTGCTGCTGCTGCAGTCGATTGCTGTTGCTGGTGTTGCTGTTGCTGTTGCTGTAGCTGTTGTTGCGACGCTTGTTGGGCTTCGTTAAATGGCAGCTGTAAAAGGCAAATGCAAAAAGCGAATGAGTTAACATTTTGTGCCTTTTTCTTGCTTCGTGTTCGTTTTTGCTGTTGCTGTTGTTGTAGTTGTTGCTGTTGCTTTTGCTTTTGTGGTTGCGACTAATTTGATTTGCGTTTCAATTCCAATTTGTTGGCGTTTAATTAAAATTTGTGCATGCGTCATGTGGTAACCGCCCACTGGGCGTGGCCTGTGGTCGAAATGTGCGTGTTGAGCTCTCAGCCCATTGAGCGCTTCAAGGGTTTCCTTTATCGCCTGCCGGCAACACAAAAACAAAGAAATGCAGCAATCAAGCTGAACACAAAAAAAACTCTTACACCTGCCACATGTTTCCACCTGAGGGTCAACAACAATCAAAGTCGAACTAGTAACTCACATGAACTGTATAGCTAGTTCACAATTGAGCTTCTTAATCAAATAGAAATTTGAGCCATCATCAAAGTTGTCTAGCTGCATTGGAACTAGTTCTTGACTGAGGGAGCTTCGGCAATTTGTGAATGTTATCATCGAATATCATCGAATATTATCGAATGTATCGAATATTCAAAGAGCACTTTTCTAGCGAAAGTTTTCGATTAGGATTCAAGACTCTATTGAATGCTTGCTGTTTCCCTGTTTTTGTCTCTATCTCTGCTTCTTTCCATTTTCTCTCAATATATATCTCTCTCTCGTCCTCTTTGCCTATTCTCTTTCTCTCAGTCTCTCCATCTGCCTCTCGCATTCTTTTTAGTCTCTCCATCTCTCTCATTTTCTCTCAATCTCACCATCTATCTCTATGTCTCTCTCTCTCTTTCTCTCTCTCTCTCTCTGTGATTTAATGTCTCTGGGTCATACTATCTAGTTCTCTTTCATTGTATACATACATATATCTCTCCATCGTTCTATCCAGCGGAATGCTGACAGATGGAATATCTTTCCTTCTTGTTCTTTTCATAATCCCTATCAAATTCTTTTCATAATTCCTATCAAATTCTTCATTTATCTCTCTCTCTCTCTCTCTCTCGGTCTCTCTCTCTCTCTCTCGCTAACTCTGACTCTCACTCTCTGCCTCTGTCTCTCTCTCTCTCTCGCTAGCTCTCACTGTCACTCTCTGTCGCTGTCTCTCTCTCTCTCTCTCTCTCTCTCTCTCTCTCTCTCACGCACTCTCTGTCTATATCTCTCATACACTCTCTCTGTCTCTCTCTATCTGTCTCTACTTATTTGTCTTTCTCTCATTCTTTCTCATTATGCTTTATTATATTCCTGCCACTCTATATCTATCCAACTCTCTGTCTCTCTCACATTGTTCAGCTGCTGTCATGCAGAAATCTTGTTCAATCCATTGCTTCCTCATTCACAGTTGTTCAGTTCAGTTGAGTTCCGTTCATGTTCCGTACAAGTTCAGTTCAGTTCAGTTCAGTGCAGTTCAGCATGGTTCAGCTGCTGTTCATCTTTCATTTATGAGAGGAGACAATTTCCGACAGACGATGACAAATAGCTGAACATTACAAAAGTGCAACAGCAGGTCGCACAAACAACACCAGCAAATGACATTAACGTGTCCCTAATGTGCGCACATTATAAACAGTACACACAGAGAGAGAGAGGGAGAGAGAGAGAAGGCGAGAGTGAGTCGTAAATATGCGCATTATTGTTAAACATAAATTTCCGCTGCAAGCAGAGCTGGGGCAGAGGGAGCTGGGAGCTGGGCCATGTTGCATGTTGCGGAAATTGATGCCAAGACTGGCAGCTGGGGTCGACTGTGGGTGGCCGTATGAGTGTGGGGGGGGGGGGGTTGGTCTTTGGGTGTCGGCTTACACTAAGCACTGGACTCTATTGTTGCTGGACTTTGAAATTGAAAGGAATTTTTAATTGAAACTCATAAATTAAGCCTCAACTGCGCCAGCTCATCGAATGGATGTGAGTGCCACACATACACACACACACACACACACACACACACACACACCTCTCTATATACATATATACCTATATATGTATATGTTTTTATATCCCCCTGCTCAAGCGCCGCCTCTGCTGTGGCTAGTAGCAACGGCTTTGTTTGAGCTCACGTTGCCCGGACAGCTGCTGCGGCTGCTGCTGCTGTTGCTGCTGCTGTTGCTGCTGTTGCTGCTGTTGCTGCTGATAACTCAACTCAATTCAAATCTCATAAATGCAAGACAATACAAAATTTAAATGCAAAACACACACACACACACGCCAATACACAGTCAATACCCAGTCAATAGATGGCATATTGGTTTTGGGGTTGATCTTGAACTGTAAGCGCTTTTCAATTAGAGATGCGCGCGTGAGCCGAACGCAACTATCGCATGCGCCATATATGTCAACTATAATACAGTCGGGTCTCGATAATTTGTACCCTTATAAATTAAAAATCGCGATAAGCCGAAAAAATCTATCCCCTTGAAAAAATCGTTCTCGATAATTATCGATAATGTGAATTTCTTTTTAAATCGAAAAATTCTGATCCCCTTGCCGTTTCGAATTATCGGGACTTGACGATTGATGACTTCTTAAAAAAACATGCTGTGGACAAAATAAGAATTGAAAAAATAAGAATGAAGAAAACACACATATATCGATATAAGATTCATAGTTTGAAATATCGATTAAAGATTCACAAGTCTTTATATTTAGCTCTCCCTCTTCCTTTTACCCTATCTTTCTCTCTCTCTCTCTACCTCTACCTCTACCTCTACCTCTACCTCTACCTCTCTCTCACACTCTCTCGTTCTACTCTAACTTCCTCTCTAAGCTTCCATATTAATCGTTTTTTTTACTAACATCGTGTTTTGTTCCACTCCATATTAAATCTTGCTCACTTGTTATGCACACACACACACACACGCACACATGTGTACATATATATACATTCACACATGAGCACACACACTCTCGTTGCTCTTTAAATATTTGCCCTTGATTATTGGCAAACGTGAATTTTCATACACGACTTCGATTGGCTCCCGCCCACCAAATGTTGCTAACAATCAGTGCGGGGCGTGGCAAGGGTGAGAGGCATTTAGCTGGCAGGCTAGACAAACTACAATCAAAATGGTTAGATGAATGTGTGTGTGTGTGAGTGTGTGTGTGTCTCTTTGTTTATGTGCAGCTTCTTCTTCTTCTGCTGCTTCTGCTTCTGCTTCGTTGTTGTTGTTGTTGTTGTTGGTGCAGGAAACGTGATTTTTATGCGGCAACATTAATGAAAACGTTGCCAGATGATGTTGCGGCTGATGAAAATGCTTTTGCTGATACTCATCATGATGATGATGATGATAATGATAACGATGATGATGATGATGATGATGATTTGAAAGCAGACGTAACTTAAGAGCTGTTTCGCCATTTTCTAAACACACATGAACGAATTCTGTTCAACTTGATGCTTAGCTAACAAGCATAGCTGTCTCTTTTACACCCACCCACCCACACCCCCTCTCTCGCACTCCSCCTCTCTCTCACCCTAATGCTTTTGAGCAGTGTTTGCATACGCTAACCAGGCAAGCGAGCAACCAACAGGTATTCACAATCTGGAAAACTCAGCTGGAAAAACTTAAAGCTAAAAAAATTGCGCAGCTAGAGCAAAATTGTTTATAGAGTACAGAATTTCGGATACTGTTATGTGATATGATATTACCATAGTGAAACTAGAGACTATGAATAGGAGGTTCGGTATGCCGCTTTAAATATATTTGAAATAAGTTTCAGCAATGCTTTAATCTTTGATGTGGAGTTAAGCTTATTGTATATATATCTTTATCCGTCTAGAATTGACGATAAAAGCGACTTATGTGGAAGTTATATTCTGGAATAGCGCAACATTTCAATGCCTTTGTCAATGCCTTTGTCAGCTGTTCTCTAAGCCTCAGATTCAATTTGCGACGAGGCAATGCTACTTATTGGAGGTCTGACTTTTCATTGCTACCTGCTTCAGTTCTCACCAAAAGCGAGCTGGATGTAGGCCTAAGATCAAGTAGAGTTTCCTCCCTCTCAAGCTCAAGCTTGATCTGTCTCAAGTTATAGCTAAGTCGGAGTCTTTTTAAGATTTCTAAAATATATCCGCACTATCAAGAGATCAAATGGTAAGAGTAAGTTATCGATATTATTCACATTTGGTCTCTCTTCTCTCTCCCTTTGCTTTCCTCTGCTTGCTTAGCTTGAAAATAATCTTGTCGTAGAGCATTTCTACTTCGCCTTTTGGCTTTAACATTCCCTTCCCTGCTCCCCCCTCCCCATCTCTCTCATTTGTTTGTTGTTTCTAGTTTCCAAGCTAGACAATGCGGCGTATGAGTAATATGTGAGCTGTGACAGCAAGCAACAAGCAACCAGGGCGCCCGCAGCCAAGTTATTGAAATCAACAAAAAGGCCACAGCAGCAGCAGCTACACACACATACACACACACACACACACACACACACACACAGGTGGCTTTTGTTGTGCTGTTGTTGATTTTTTTTCGCAGAGTTATCGCTGATATTGCTCCATGGAGAGTAATACAGGCTAAAGCTGGCAACGGCTCTGCCCAAGTGCACTTCACAATGCAGCCCAGACAGAGGCGCAGGCGACGCTGTATAGACGGGGGCGACTGGCTAAAGGAAAGGGGCGGGGCGGTGTGGGCGTTTGCTTCGACGTTTTTCATATCGCAAAAATNAGATACCCTGAACCCTCCAAACTGATATTCTAATCATTCTGGACTTCTTTTATGCACACATACATACACATGCACGTATAAGCACGCGCTTTGCAAACTGCGCAGCTAGCAGCGGCTGCGCTTGGGCTGCACTGCAGTGTGGGCAATATAACGAGAATTTATTTGTTGAATAATTTCTTTTGTAGACATACGATCTTAATGAAACTTTTAGAGCGTAATCATATGGCTTAAATGTGTGTACATTTCAAAGCACAAGTCTCTAGTACTTGAAATGCGTTTTTTACAAATTGGGGGCGAAGGGGGCGTGGTATCCAAAATCTGTAAATTACAAAATCTTTGTATCCATTAACTTTATATACAACGCAAATTTGAAGTCTCCAGGTCTAAAAGTGTTCAAAATAAGCTGAAAAAACATTGTCGATTTTTCGATTATTCTCGATAAAAAAGTTATCGGATGAGTTATCGAAAAAATAAAGCAAACTTGTACTGCCTATGGTATACACGAGTATGCTTGCCAAATTTCAGCTCTCTAGCTCTTATATCTTCTGAGATCCTTTTGCTCATACGGACGGACGGACGGACGGACGGACGGACGGACGGACGGACGGACAGACGGACAGGGCTATATCGACTCAGCTCGTCGTCCTGATCAAGAATATATATACTTTATGGGGTCTGYGATGATTCCTTCYGCYTGTTWCATACTTTTCACAAAACCATTATACCCTGATTTCCCATTTTCAATGGGTTCAGGGTATAAAAATTACATTAATAACTGTAAAGCAGTGGGAATGAGAGAGGGCGAGAGGAAGAGAGAGAGCGAGAGAGAAAGAGGGAGGCGTACGCCCAAATGGACATGGCATACATGGAACACAGTTGAAGAGGCGCTAAACGTTAACGCTTTGGGCCATTGGCTCGGCTCAAAGCGAATGTGAAAAGGGGAGCAGAGCACTTAGCGGGGGGGGGCACTCAACTAAGGGGGGAAATCGGCTTAGTGCCGATAGCGCTGTGTGTAGAGCAACGCCAAATGTGAACAGCCAGTAAAACGTTTACGAATGGCTCGCAATTGAGAGATAAATACGTGGATGAGTGAGGCAGCAGAGGGAGGAGAGAAGAAAAGAAAGAGAGAGAGAGATATGGAAATATAGGACGAGTAGAAAGCAGAGAGAAGGGAAAAACGGAAGAACCAGAAAAAAGAAGAAATCTGAAAGTAGAGAAGAAAGAGCATACACAAATACAGATATAGGAGCTCAGAGAGAGGGAGAACCTAATTGAGTAAAGAAGAAAGAAGGAGAAAGGGCTACATACATAGGGAGAGAACGACATAGCAATAGAGAGGGATCGACAGCATGGGATACAGACATAAAGATCGAGGGAAGTAGAATGGAAGACAGCGAAAGAGAGTGAGCAAGAGAGAACAAGTAAAACACCTCGGGTCACTCTTTCCTTTGTCGTTGCCGAATAGAAGGTAGAGAGACAAATACGATCAAGAGAAAATGGAAGGAAGAGGTAAAAATATTTAGGTTTATAACGAGACAGACTTAGAGAGCAAAATACAAAGATTGATAAGCAAATCGCAGAATTAGCTTCAAGAAGATGAATCCCACAAAGAGGCAGCCAGGTAAACGTTTACGAATGGCAAGCTGAAACAGAAAACTGCCCAAACCTCGTCAGCTAATTGGCCGTTTAGCATGTTGAATTTGGCCAACAATGTTGGCAACTTAATATTCAATCACGCTCATTCGCTATTCAGAGTGAATATTTGTGAATACGAAAACGAATCGAATGTGAATATTTTGCCAATTGGCCGGCTCTGTGCGAGGCAGCCACAGCACAATCTGCAAGCCAATGAAAACATTTGCTGCGCAATTTCGGCCACATTTACAACGATAACACACACACACACACTCGGGCACACACACACTCATTTGGGGGCTTGCGGCTAAACAAATTTCAATAAAAAGAAATTCAAGTGGCAAAGCAACATTTTTTATGCGCTGCCATGGCGACGCAGCAGCCGCTTTCACTCTCGCTTTCACTTTACGACCAATATGCAAAAGGACAATAACAACAACAGCCGCAGCAACAGCAACACACAGGATAACAACGAGGCACAACAGAACACACAATACGAGCACAAATATTTCGCATGCGGCCATAAAAACCGAAATTCCAAACTCCAGCCCCGACAAAAAGTGAGAGACCAAATGTGCATAGAGATTACTATAATCGGCAGACACTGACTGCACAATACTCGCTCATTTGTCGAGTCAGTAATGTCGTCTTCGAATATGATTCAGATGCAGGAATGAAGCGAATGAGCCTATGTAATGAGAGAGAGAGAGAGAGAGAGAGCTTGCGAGCGAGAGAGAGAGAGAGAGATAGAGTGGAGAGAGAGAGAGAGAGAGAAGAGAGTGAGTGTGAGAGAGAGAGACAGAGTGAGTGAGAGAGAGAGAGAGAGAGAGAGTGTGAGAGAGAGAGAGAGAGTGAGTGTGAGAGGAGAGAGAGAGAGAGAGAGAGGAGAGAGGAGAGAGAGAGAGAGAGAGAAGAGAGTGAGAGAGAGAGAGAGAGAGATATAGAGGGAGAGAGAGAGAGAGAGAGAGAGAGGGCGAAAGAGAGAGAGAGAGGAAGNGAGAGAGAGATAGAGTGAGATAGAGAGATAGAGAGAGAGAGAGTGAGTGTGAGAGAGAGAGACAGAGTGAGTGTGAGAGAGAGAGACAGAGTGAGAGAGAGAGAGAGAGAGAGAGAGAGAGGGAGAGAGAGAGAGAGAGGGAGAGATGGAGAGATAGAGAGAGAGAGAGAGAAAGAGAGAGTGAGAGAGAGAAAGAAAGAGATATATAGGGAGAGATGCAGAGATAGAGAGAGAGGGCGAAAGAGAGAGAGAGAGGAAGAGAGAGGGTGAGAGAGAGAGGAAGTTCCGGCGTAGACACCTATATACATATACATATATAGATATATACATATACATATATTATAGATAGATATAATTCTAGACTGTAGACTCTTTATACAGTTGTTTTCTCTTGCATAGGGACTGACTGATTGATTCCTTATACAGTATAATCCGGCTATACACTCAAGGGACCGTCGTTGTACCCGGAAGGCGCTATAACCGTATAAGTTTGCTCATAAAACTTTGTCTGGGGACCAGAACTTTCGTCGTTATAACCTATAAACGCTATAAGCGGAGTCGTTATAGCCGGATTCTACTGTATATACATACAATATAAATACCATATACGACAATACTTGTATATTTATTGTACATTTCCAATATTCAATCGCTTTCTATCTATACTCAGGCAAACCAATATGCTCGCTCTGTTCAGTTGACTGAGCGGGTATCTAAAAAAGAGCGCCGTAACGTAATTTTTTTGCGGACTCTCGAGATAACGGGCCGAGATTTTTGGCAGGCGGGGTTACGTGGCGCATGTGGGGCAGAGACAGAGCCGAGGGGCAGAGGCAGAGGCAGTGGCAGAGGCAGCGTAACATTTGATTTGTGGCAACATTTGCTGCAGGCTTCTCGCACACGTCCTGTGCCCGCTGGCTGAGCTCTTCTCTCTCACTCCCTCTCTCAGTCAGTCTGTCTCTCTCTCCCTCTCTCTCTCTCGCTTCCTTCATACATACATTTTCATAATACTTAGTATCTCAGGCCTTTTCAGCTCGCTTTTTATGGCTGACCACCCGCTGGGCAGCAACAGCAGGAGCAGGAGGAGCCGCAGGGGGATCAGCAGAAGCTGAGGGTTGGCTATTTGCTGTATTTTTTCCAGCTATTTCGCAATATTTAGCCAATAGAGTTGGTGCATTGTTTGAGCGACGCTTTGTTCGCTCCGGTTAAATAATCAAAAGGCTCGCCAATCTGAGGGAGGGAGAAGTCATTCGAGTACGTCGAACATTGCCAGCAATGAGAAAAATGCTTTTCATGCTTTTCATTAGCGCATTGCCGATGCGCTCGACGTCCTCATTGATGTCGTCCGTCGTCCGTCGTCCGTCGTCCTCGTCGTCGGTGCGTGCAGTTTATCAATTAGCTGCCCAAGGGCAGTTAATTGCTTTTTACCAATGCCAGCCCACACTGAAACCCCTCCCCCCTCCCTGCTACAACTTCAACTCCATCTCCAGCTGCAGCCCCCACTTCAAAGTTTGTCAAAGATTTCATTCATTCCAGTGAAGGCTTTAATGCTCCAGGCGCTGCCTACATTAAATTTCATTTGCTCTAAAACACATTTCAATTTCCATGTGTTCACTCATTAGTTCAGCTCATAACAGAAGTAAATAGTTCATAAGCCAACTAGTTCAATTATAGCCCAAACTCTAGATATCTAGATTAAAATACATATTTTGAAATTTCTTAAAATAAATCCATAAAGTAAGCTTGAATAATATGGATATGTCGGAACTAGTTCATTGTTGAGTCAGACTTACAAATTCAGTTTGTGGACTCGGCGCTATCCAATGCTCCGGATTCGTTGGTATTGCCTCGGCCAGGCAGGGATCGAAACTGGACGGTCGTTTCTTAACAAAGTCTACAGGCAGGCTGTAATCATCACAGATGGCAATCTGCAAAAGAGAGAGAGAGAGAAAGGTTAGAAAAGGCGAGGTACGGAGTGAGAGGCTTCACGCAATTTGTATGCTAAAAATAACAATTTCAAGTTGAGCTAAAGAACGCGACGCACATACGCCAAGTGCTGCCAGCTGTGCTTACACAGAACAAAAGAGAGAACGAGAGAGAGAGAAAGGGAGAGAGAGATGGGGGAACACGCTGCGTCATCAAAAGTGTTGAAGCACAATGGCTAAATTACAGTTACAATTAAAAATGGCGACGCCGCTGGAAATCTGTTTGTCAAGTGCACAGTCGACCAGGTGGGCGGGCCCTTAGATTGAGCGACAGTGGGCGTGGCAGTGCACAGTATGGAAATCTGCAAAGCAACAACAATTATGGCTGAAGTGTATGGAAAAGTGCATGGAGAGCAAGGGGAGGCGATTAAAATAATGAGGAAGAAAGAAATCGGAATACCAATTCTCTAACTGTATCTGTATCTGTATCTGTATCTGTATCTGTATCTGTATCTGTATCTGTATCTGTATCTGTATCTGTATCTGTATCTGTATCTGTATCTGTATCTGTATCTGTATCTGTATCTGTATCTGTATCTGTACCTGTATCTGTATCTGTATCTGTATCTGTATCTGTATCTGTATCTGTATCTGTATCTATATCTGTATCTGTATCTGTATCTGTATCTGTATCTGTATCTGTATCTGTATCTGTATCTGTATCTGTATCTGTATCTGTATCTGTATCTGCATCTGTATCTGTATCTGTATCTGTATCTGTACCTGTATCTGTATCTGTATCTGTATCTGTATCTGTATCTGTATCTGTATCCGTATCTGTATCTGTATCTGTATCTGTATCTG